GGGGAAGAAGGATGATATTGCGGACGCTACGCTACCCATAGAGTGGGCCAAAATGGAATGACAGTTGTTTGCGGAGTCTCAGCTGCGTTGTTCACGTCAACTGGAAGTCGCGACGCCGGCCGGTCTGGATTGGGACGCTCCGCTTGCCGTCTCCCGCAGCTAGCCCACCCCACACCTGCACCACTAATTTTAGCCTATTGCTCGACATCTCCACCCACGCCGGAAGCAGCTGTATGTCAAGTGAGCTACATCAATCGAAGAAGAGTTGAATCCTCGTGTATCGTGTATCGCTACTATAGCTACAGCTATGCCCTCAGCGTGTTGGACGCATTACGACCCCGCTCAGTTGATATCTGACAGCCTACATATCATCGGCATATCTCGTCTTGCTACCGTCCACAAGGCGATCGCTCTCAGCTTGAGCCATCAGAGCCTGCGACGCCTTCCTCTGCTTCCGCTTCTGCCAGAAAAGCCGAGCGGAGAACGCCATGCAAAGCGCAACCACTAACATGATACCAACAATGTAGTGCATTCGCAATGGCGCTGCCTCATCATCCTTCCACGGCACACCTTCAGGGTCATCCTCTGTGAATAGCTGCCGTCCTCTGTCTGATGGTGGCTGCTTGTTGATGACGGGGAAAGCCTGCGAGAGGCCTCCTTCCAGCATGCCAGGAAAACCCAAGGCGCAGACCATGGTATCCGCCTCAGGCGTGAACTCGAATTTGATTGGAACTTTAGCCATGCCTGATCCCATCACGTCGAAGCTTGTAGACCATATCCCACCATGCCCCGGTTTCTCGTCTAGCGTGACGGTCAGATCTGTCTTGTCATGCACACGAATATCTCGTTGGGCAATTCGAGCTATGCTATGGAACAGACTTACAGCAAGACTCCCAGTCAAACTCTTTCGAGTCTGTATCGTCGTTATTCTCCTGCTGGCAAGGCTTGCAGTACAGGTTTCGGTGACTGGCAGCGGGAACATTGAAGTCCCAGGGCCAGGTAGGCTCGATAACGTCGTTGATGTACACAGGGACGATACCAAAGCCGGAAGTAGGTGGGACGTGAGCGGAAGCCTCAAGGTACTGCTCGATCTCGAAGCTAGAGCTTTGAGGGTGCTTGCTAGGCATCAGATCCTGGTTGCCTGGCGCCGGAAATTCCCAAAGGATTGGACTTGGGCAGTCGCAGTCGTCCTTTGTGTGAGTCATGTTGTATTCTGACTTCATTTTTGGATGATGTCTAGTACTGAGATGAGAAGGCGTCTGCAGTAACTTATGTGTAAGAGTGAGAAGAGAACCGCGTACACAATCCTGCATTGAAGCTACTCGGGGCTGACGAAACGCCGTCACGAAGCAGCTTCAGCATGGGGTCGCTCGCCTGTCTCGATAAACCTCGCTGTGAGTGGTGCATCTCAGAGTCGGGCGTCGGGCTATGCTGGTTCTAACGCAAAGTAGCGGAGTGGAGTTCGTATGCAGCTTTTGCGTACGTAGCATCGCGCTTTCAACAAGCACTTGCGAAGCCGTGGCAGTGAGTCGCGAATGAACAGCGTTGAAACGCTGGTGCCTTGAGTTCCATCGACGTAGTTATCGCAGTCCCATCGGCCCGCAACTGCAAAAGATCAATGCTGTCTTTACGCGTCACTTCTGAGAGGAGGCAGGCCGTCTAGTAGATGGTCGATAGACGATATCCCAATACTGGTGAGGGTGAATGAATGCGCGTCATCATAGCTACTGGAGTTGTGTCGAGCGTGGAATGTCAATGACCTGACAGATCGCAATGCCAAGACGCTAACCAGGAAAGGCTGGTGCAGGTCGCACCTGCCAGTCTCGACTGATACACACTCGAATCTTCATTGAACCAGGCAAGATGCGCTGCTATGCTTATCACCTCTTTCCATTCAATACATCTGTTATCGTTCCGCATAAAAGATCTACCTAGCAAACATGCCGATCGCCTCGTACCCAAAGGGCTGGCCTTACTACAACTGCGCCTACTCCAGCCTGACCTGACCCCAAGTCTGAGCATCAAGCTTATCTTTGTGCCAATGTTGAGGTGTTGGTGAGGGTCGATCCCACGAGACTTTAAGCAGGACTTCCCTTGGAGGACACTGCAACAGTTCAGCTGCACGATGTATTGAAGCTGCAAAGCTGCTGCCTGATAATTCGGGCAGTATCTGTGGCCAGCAGATCGCCAGCACCACAACAATCCTCGGCTAATAATTCGCATGCAAGGCAGCAACGGCATTGTAAATAATGCAGCGTTCGACTCAAACGCCTCGTGTAGCGACGCTGCTGCAAGGATGCATCGGCAAACATGGTCTGCTGTAATCGACAAGCGAGCCAAAGCCATTGTCGTCCGATAAATCTAAACAGCCATATTAAATGTATTGCCAACCAACGCATCGTCATGCGCCGCCAACCGAGCACTATATCGGAGTATTGAAATCATCCGAAGGCAGTACAGTGTCACAACATACATGCTTGTCTATCTGCCGTGTAACCTTGGTCGGAAGAAAGAGGACCTCTGGATTGGTCTATACATACTGGCATTGGAATATGTCGTCCCGTACACGGCTTCGTGGACTGTTTAGTATGGAGTCAACGCGTGATTGACGCTCGTATGAGGACTTGCGGGTTAGTCGTTGGGCTGTTGGAAGGACTTTGACGATGGCTTAAGGCGGTATAAAACGGAGAAGTGAAAGCTTCAAGTTGCACTGTCGCTCTGTCGTGGAGGCATCTTTTGTTTGGTCTCACGTTTTATCGAAGTCGCTCGTTCACCACCCTCGTTTTGGACACAGCATACATCATGCGCCTCATCATCCCCAGCCTTCTGGCCCTGATAGCCTCAGTCAGGGCTGCCGGCATCGCTGTCGTATTGAACAACTCCCCAGACCCCATCTATGTTTGGTCCGTTGGCGGCACAGTCGGTCCTCGCCATGACATCAAAGCTGGTCAGACACACGCGAGCCTTGACTTCGTCTTCAACTGACAGCCACAGGCGGTATCTACTGGGAGGAGATGCATCATGACGACAAATCCGGAGGCATTGCGATCAAGATGACGAAAGAGGCGGACGGTCTAAACTCCGGTGCTCCTCAGCAGGTGTGGGCATACAACCTGGATGGCGGAACGGTGTGGTACGATCTCAGCACTGTCTTCGGGGCACCGTTCGCTGGAAGCCGATTAGATGTTACTGGGGATAATGGGGGTAGCATTGTGTGGCCGAATGGTATTCATCCAGGAGGCAACCAACTTACGAAAGCTCCGAGCGAGGGGAACATATTCTTTTCCATCAATCCTGTTTGAGGAATGGAGGATGTCTTAGAGGCGTAGAAGAGTAGAGCGCCTCAGATGGATCGGAGCAGACTGTAGTGTGTCGGTATCTAAACCAGGTGGATGCATACTATTATACCGATTTGTGAAAGATCTTGATGGCGAGTGCGCCAGAACAATTTGAGATGATTTTTCTCCGCTGCTCTTTCTGCTGACAATTGAACCCGTCCGACGGGCACTCTTCGGTGTCTAACGACTAGCATCTGTCCGTCGGAAGATCATTGCTCGAGTCGACGTGCAAACTGACAGCGCACGTGTGAATTGGCAGTGGTCGCAAAAATTGTGGGCGAACCGTCGAAATGGGAGACGTGGGGTCGGCCGTGCCTTCCAGGGCTGGTCGCGAAGAGGCAGTCGCAGATTGCCGCCTTCAGAGAGCTCTTTCCTCTGCCCAGCGATCGAATCGCCGCGTCTAGAAAGAGTCACCGACATTTAACTCCATGCAAGTGCGTCTGAAGGATCACTGGATGGCGACCGACAGCTGTCTGTGCAACGCCACATTCTGTTGTGCTTCCGCTGCGCCCGGGCTCCCCAAACTACAGCTCGCCTCAGGCGTCCGGTCGCGAGTCATTGCGCCGTTTCTCGCACACCATCAGACGCCATTCCACCAGTACAGTAATCATTCATGCCACCAAGCCGAGATGTCGCCGTCTATACAATTATTCCATGGCCACGCCGCAATCTGCTTTCATCTATCAAGGGCGTCATCTCATCTTATGTCGAGTTGGCATCTTGTGTAGCCTCGGTTCTGATGTCCCGACCGGGTGTATCCTATCTCCAATCGCTGCCAGTCGCCTGCATGGTGCTACTGTATGATAGCGACTGCGGGCGGTATCGCGCCATGAGCATCGGGTGATGCAAAATTGAGCCGCATCTAGGTGCTGATCCGCCGCTGTCAGCACCAACAGCTTTCCTGTGATTGCGACAGCCTCCAAGGGGAGCCTGCCCAATCTTCGATCTCGCGAGATGACCAGAAGCATCGCGAGATACGACTAAAGAGGCAACACCAAGCTAGACGGAAAACTAGAGCCTGGGGACAGACTGCATTCACACCTTTAGCCGCCCTTGGGGAGGGTTGGCGTGCACAATAGCTGCCACCGCCCACTGCTAAACGCGATGCGCCCCGCTCCAGGAACGGCCCTCCGCAAAACTTATTGGTATGCTAGTTTAGCATCCGTCTCCCTGCGTCTGTAATTCGCTTGCTGCACCATGTCTTATCAACCCTCCGCCTGGAAACACCCTGGTCACGTTGCACATGGCGGCCGCTTTCGGGGCCACGCAGACCTTTCCAGGCAAAAGGCCCTACCTCGCCCTATGCCAACGACGCTCAAGCATGCGCCTTCTATTGCCCTTCTTCTGGTGATTGGCCTCTAAGCGGCGACCCGACGCCATGTATTCGTCGCCATGCCGCTTGCCACAACCAGAGGCGTTCCGAGAGGCGGATCAAATTGTGTACCACAATCAACAGCCGATGTTTCTGGCCCCGCTGACGCCTGACAACAGCATTGTCTTACTCCATACTTACTGAAGCCTGACAGCCACTCTCTCCGTCATCCGATTTTCTTCTTCCTGGAGATGATCACCAGCTCACCACTCGGCGCACGACTCGTGTCTTGTACTAACACGCGGGGCTCGCAGACATAAGAGCTCCACCACAACCCATCAATCGGCACAATGAGTGCGAGGACATTGACAAACGTCGTCAACGACCAAACGGTCGCCTTGAACGCCCTGATCTATGGATACGCTGGGCACAGCCTCGTCACCCCGCAGCACGCGCTTCAGCAGATATGGTGGACCGAGGAGCGAATCAACGAGAAGGTCAACCATGACTTCGTCACTTCAAGGCTCCAGCCGAAAGAGAGGGAACGTCTTACACAACCTGTCGGCTTCGGCGATCTGAGCGACGACACCTACATCGAATGGATATTGGAGAAAGCAAGACGACTGTTCCTGATCTTGGTCGAGATTGGCGAAGCGGATAGGATCTTCGCGGTTGTTGACAGATCGTGGGACGACGATGATTTACCTCTGGAAATGGATGACATTGAGCAGCTTTCGCTGTCGAATCGCCGCGATAACCACGCCGATGCTCGCTTCTACCACACACAATTCACATTCCTCCTAAGAGAATTGCGGGAAGGCATACATATCGATTATGCGCCCAACGAGGAGATTCCAGTCGAGAACGTAATGTCTCTGCCAGTGGCAGTGAGCTTACAGGCCTGGCAACGTATGCACCTACCGAAGAAGGCAAGGGAAATCTACGTTCGCAGGCGATTTCCGCTGGGCGACCCAGAAACACCGGATGCGTTCGAAGAGGACTTCAAAATGGATGTCGAAAGCGCAAGGATGGTCGAGCATGAGCATCTTGCGCCGATCTGGGCCTCGTATACCTCCAAAGGTGTTGGTTACATCGTCACCAACTTTGTAGGGCAGCATACTCTTCGCACTTTCATCGACCACCGCAACCCGACTCAGTATCAGAAGCTATTGAAGCCTGACCGGAGATGGCTGGTACTCAATTGGCTGCACTGTCTGTCAGACGCCATTGCAACACTGCATCAGAACGGTTTTTGTCACTCTGCTATACGGCCATCAAATATCCTCATCGACGAGCAGAATGCGATAGCATTTAGCGACATCGGTAGCCTTGAGACGTTTCAGAAAGACAAGAAGCCCGACGCAATGGACGCCTACGTGTACAGTGCGCCAGAGTCACACATCAGTACAGGACCTTTCGACCCCAATGACCCTGCGCCTTCACCCACTATCCCAAACGGTCGACATGCTTCGATGATTAGCAAAAGTTCGTCTGGGTCATCCGGCAGTAATAATTCACAACGGCAGAAGCTTACCAAAGCACCTACAACGGACTTCTCCGGTTTCAACTTTGGATTCAAGAAGTCGAAGGCGAAGCCTACACCGAAGAAACGGTCGCGAGTACACGAGACTGAGAAGGCAGATGTGTTCTCGCTCGGTTGTGTTTTCCTGGAGATCATCACATTCATGCTGAAGAAGAAGCCTCACGACTTCGTAAAGCACCGCACATCGAAGCAAAGGACCAATACTGGCGGCAAGAACTCTCGAACGGATTCATCGTATCATGTCAATCTCGACAAGGTAGAGACTTGGATGAACACGCTCGAAAAGGCTTCATTTGAGCATGACGACGACGCGTTCCGTGCGATTCCCCCCATGTTACAGGTCATCAGAAGTATGTTGAGCAAAGCACCCATGCTTCGCCCTGCGGCGCGTGATGTTCGCGACAAGATCTTCGACATTCTCTTTGAGAACACCTCCATACCCGACATCCATTGCGGCGCCCACAAGCATGATATCGGAGTAGCGGCATCGTCGTATTCCGGCTCGGATAGGGCGTCACTAATGACAATGTCAACCATGACTTCAACGAGTTCGAGTACCTCTGACGCGGATACCATACGATCGAGCACGACGCGTGTAAGCTCGATATTGAATTCGTATTCCGACCGAACGACTTTGTTCGGTATCGAAGAAGATGATAGCGCTTCGATAAAAACGCTTGAACCCATAGCCACACAAGCCCAAATTGGCAGAGCATATGAATCACCGAGGGAAGCTCCAATACCACCAAGCTCTCCTACTTCACCAACATCACCACGGTCCCCAATGTCGCCAATGTTCCCAAGCTCTTCAAGCCCTTCTAGACCGACTTCATCAGCCACGAAGGGGAAGTCGTGGAGCAAGCCGTTCATGCTGATGCCATGAGATTCTGCAGCATCGAGACCTATAAGGCTAGAGTTGAGCAGGAATCGCACTCAGCCACCACTTGCATCTTCATCATCTGAGCATACTCCGACATCCGCGAGGTTGCTATAGATTGCGGGGTTATATGCAGTGCAGTCTTGGGTGGCACGTGGCGGTACCAGCCTTACGGCACGGGGTGACATCGCAAGAGAAATAGGAAGGTGGTGAACGACCTCAGCGCTGCTATCATGCGAATGGCGGGCATGCATACGGCTAGAGAATGCCGATGTTACAGGCATGTGGTGAGCAACAGCACATGTGAAGTGCCCCACACCTACGCAGACATACGCGTGCCCTGTACGATCCTGACAGCTCAGCGAGTTTACTGTTCAAGTTTTCTACAACGTAGCACGAATATACCTAATACCTTACAACGGACATTTGCAGATTCTTGGTTCCTGAGCGTATCTCTGAGCCGCATGCGAGATCGTCGCAACCTGACGCTTATCTCATCAACCGCATTTGCTGAGGCGGGGTATCCCCGCATCCTACATGTGCACGACTCTGTCAGACTATCGCCATCAACTTCATGTCCATTGCACAGGTATGAAAGCGAAGGTGTCGCTTTCTAATCGACTCGAAATGTATGCCAATGTTCTTGCCGTCAAATCTCATAACGTGTTGTTGTCTGCAATGTCTACATGGCACCTTCGGGTCATTGTTCGCTGGTCCGAACCTAGAATCCGGCCCCATTTGATCCGTACGGTGCGGGGATACTACCAGCCCTGTAGCCAAGACGCTGATCGCAGCTGATCAGACTCGTTCTACTACGTCAATGCATCTGACACTCTGCAGGTAGGTAAGCGTCAGGCATGCATCCACGGCGTTGACGTACAACCACCTCTTCTCCGTCCACCGTCAGCCTCGTCGTTTCCAAGGCGCCAGGCTTATGCAGTAACCGAATGCTCTGCAAACGCATACTTGAACGCCATGCATCAGATCAGCCGGCCCGGCCACGCGACTACTCTGGCCTGTCCAAACATGCGCCGAGCTACCTCAGTAGTAGCATGATCGTCGACGGTGTGCAGCCACCAGGATCATCCCGCCGCTATTCCTAGAACTAAGAATACCAATATGCAGCTGCAAAGCCGTCACAGGTACCATTGAACCATGTTGTCATGAATCCACCCAAGGCTTAAAAGCCGCCGTCGTCCTCCGCATCTCAACGGTTTCTTACCGCATCTTGGATGCGCACCTGCCAACCGATTTTCTAATCATGCAGCTCAGCTTTGGGCTTGTTACAGGGTTGTTGACGTGGTCAGCCGTTGCTGCCACTGTCAATACAATTCATCCGCGTCAAAGTAATCGGACAGACTACAAGGTCGGATATACTCCACTCAAGACGGAATGGACAGACACAGTGGGAACCAATCCTTGGCCAGAGTATCCACGACCACGCCTTCAGCGAACAGACTGGAAGAACCTCAATGGTGTTTGGGGATACAGGAACACTACGAATGGTTCGGACGCATCACCGCCTTTCGGGCAGACACTGGAAAACCCGGTCTTAGTTCCCTTCTGCCTTGAGAGTGCTCTATCAGGTCAGTCAACCCAGACTTCAGACTAGACGGGTTACTGATGCAGCCAAGGTGTGACAGGAAAGGGTCGCATGTGGAGTTGGTACCAGACATCATTCGACGTACCGTCATCATGGCCTAGCGGCAACAACGTCATCTTGAACTTTGGCGCTGTTGACTACGAGGCCACTATCTTTGTAAACGGCAAGAATGCTGGCTTCCACAGAGGTGGATACTTTGAGTTCAGTGTAGACGTGACGCAGTACCTAAGCGCAAATGGGACGAACGAACTGTAAGTATCGTAAATTGGGGACTGGAGACAAAGCTCATGTAATTCCAGACTGGTATACACCTTCGATCCGACGGATGTGGATATGGTCCAAATACCGATTGGAAAGCAAACGCTGAACCGAGAGGGGATGATCTGGTACACACCGTGCAGTGGTATCTGGCAGACCGTGTGGCTTGAGTCAACACCGAAAGAGCATATTTCGAAGCTGGACTTAACAGCGGATATGGATGGGACTGGTAAATATGGACCGTGCTCCTCGATGGCCATCGCTAACATATCGAAGTCACCGTGACCGTTCACAGCAGCACCAACCTAACAAACATCCCATACGAGATCACAGTTCATGAACTGGGCTCAACCGATGCCAAGGCGACAGCCAAAGGTACTAGTGGATCCGCATTTACCTTCAACGTCCCATCACCAGAACTATGGACTCCCGATAGTCCCACCCTGTACAATATAACCATCAAAATGGCCAGCGACACCATCCAAAGCTACACCGGATTCAGGACTGTTTCCCGCGGTACCATCAACGGCATACAGCGCCCACTTCTGAACGGAAAGTTCGTTTTCCCCTTCGGTACGCTCGATCAGGGGTACTGGCCAGACGGAATCTACACACCTCCAAGCGTCGAGGCTATGGTGTATGATCTCAAGGTGCTGAAAAATGTTGGCTACAACATGGTACGCAAGCACATCAAAGTGGAACCGGCCCTTTTCTACAGAGCTTGCGATGAGATGGGGATGTTGGTCATTCAAGACATGCCTTCTCTGCGACCAGATCTACCAGACGGCTGTGGCAGTAAACGGTTAGCAGGTGAAGCAGAGCAAAAGGAGTTTGACCGACAGCTAGCTTTGATGGTAGAGCAGCTCAAATCATATCCCAGTATCTTTGCTTGGACGATCTACAACGAAGAATGGGGTCAGGATACCTCGCCTCCATGGCCCGAGTTCCCATTGACAGAAATGGTAAGAAAGATCGATCCCACTCGCCTAGTCAATTCTGTTAGTGGCTGGACGGACCACACAGCCGGCGACTTCGACGACAACCACCACTACTCCACACCCCAATGCGGCACGCCATTCTGGTCCCGCCAAGGCAACAACTACGACTCCGCCTACGACACTTCGCGCATCGGGCTCCAGGGCGAATTCGGCGGCATCGGCACACAGCTCCCCGAAGACAACTTCGCGCACGCCTGGTTCAAAGACCTGGAGAAGCAGACCGCGTACGAACTTACGAATGGGACTAACTGGTGGAACTACCGATGCCATGATTTGCTGAATCAGTTGCGCGAGCAGATTGATCTTTTTGCTTGCTCGGGCGGGGTCTGGACGCAGACTACGGATGTGGAGGGGGAGGTTAATGGGATGATGACTTATGATAGGAAGGTTGTGAGGATGAATGAGACTATGTGGAAGGAGGATATACAGGCGCTTTATGATGCGGCGGAGAAACGGGCGAATAATGCGACGATGGCTATTAGGGATGTAGAAGGTGGGGGCTCACAGTACGGTATGCCTTGATTCGCGAGCAGAGTACATGAGAAATGTAGACTCCTGTTGCTACATTCATCCATCATTGTCTATCCATCAACCTTCTCCGCGTTACACAATCTCCTCCACTCCCCCTCCAACATCCCCAACGTAACAACATCCCACCACCCCCCCTCAAACCACACACTCTCCCTCTCCCTCCCCTCAACCACAAACCCCAACCTCTCATACAACCTCAGCGCACCCTCATTCCAGCTGAAACCCCTCACCTTAACCCTATGCAACCCCGCCCGCCTAAACGCATAATCAAGCGCCCACCTAATCGCCTCAGTCCCATACCCCTTCCCCTGATACATCGGCAGGATATCAAGCCCAATCTCCGTATTGCGGTGATGTTGTTTATGTGGCGGTGACATATCTAAATGGATTTCGCCTACAGCCGTACCATACTCTTCATCCACGATCTCCCCCTGCTTCCTCCTCGTCGCAAACGCCTTTTCGCGGTCTTCGTCACTTAGAGCAGTCGTTTCTGGCAAGTGGGGCAGCCAGATGATAGCAGCCAAAAGGCAGTCGTTTTGGACGCCTTTCATGAACTTTTCAGAGTCGGAGGGGCCGGGTAGTTTGATGTTGTCGAAATTGCTGTTTGCGTAGCCGGTGTGGTCGGCGCTGAAGGCGTGGAAGACGTTTATGTCGATGGGGCGGATTGCGCGGTAGTGGAGGCGTTGGCTGGACCAGGGGGTTGATTGGGGTGGAGGGTTTGGTGGTGGGGATGACATTGTTGTGGTTGTTTGGGGTGTTGCAAGTTTCTTGGGATCACAGGGAAGGATGTGGTTTTTGAAAGTGGGATGCCTGCGGAGATGTCTTCGTTGGTAATGTTGCTGCCTCACGGTAGGAACGTCGTATAAATCGAGGTGTCCTTTCATGGACGCCTGAGACTTGCGCCCTTCACGTGATTGCGCCCTTCATAGTCGCAAGAGCTGGGGGAGGTGATGCGAGACTAGACTCGGCTGAAATGGGAAGGTGGGAAGGCGATACGGAAAGCATGGACACGAATTGATCCACCTCGTTTAGCAGTATACAGACAAGGGTGTTTTGACAACTTATAATATACATGTGCGTGATTACTCATAATAAGCAGATGCATTTATCTACAATCCGTCGATGCAAACGTGAAGAGTGTCAGATGGAAGGGCGATGAAACGACTATTCATTTGCTCTCACAACGATATCTCGCCTCTCCAGGTACCTTCGGTCAGCCCAAGAGTCTCGATACAATGCTGCCACCTGGGGCCACCCCTCTCTTTCCGTCTCAGGTACTGTAACAACTTCTGCCTCCTGTGCACCAGCAATTGCAGGTTCCGCTTGTTGTGCTTGTCGCCCTTTCCTCGGGCTTGTAGGAAGTCTGCCAGGGTCTTGATCTTTGCTGTCAAGATGGCAATCTGGACTTCAGACGACCCAGTATCAGGCCCGACGCGCTTTGCAGTCGCTGCAACGTTTGTTTCCGGGCGCACGGCGCGGACTTCTTCAGCACCTGACCGGCTCAATGATGGCGCCTTGGGCGGGAATATCCTGTCGGTATTGTGGCGTCCGAATGTCTCTACACAGCGTGTGATGTTTACGCGCATGCGATCTTTGCTCGATCCGTTTTCGAGAGCGGTGATGCGGGCGATAGCCTCAGCGGCTCGAGCATGGTCCTTCTTGCTTTGCTCCTCGATCTCGTCGGCCGACAGTTGAATCGCCTGCGTCTTGCCGAATATGGAATTGGACCATTTCGTTGTGGGGGCCGTGGTCTCCTCGGGAATTATACCCAGCGGAACAGCCAAGTCTTTGCTCCTGTCCAATTGTTGCCTAACAGTCTCTGGCTCGAAGGCATAGTTGAGGTGTTTGCGGTCTTTGGGTATCTTTTTGCCCTCTTCGTACGTGATTGGCTTTCCAGTGTCGAACGACTCTACGAATGGTGTTGCAACACCGCGGACTGGGTCTCCGAGGCTCGCTACACGGCCTTGTTCGAGCTCAGCGCGGCGCGTGAGATTGGCAGCCTTCTTCCTGTTCCGCTGAGCGACGATATAGGGATCGTTCGCGAGGCGTTTCTTCTGCCGTTCGGCTGACTCGGCGTACAGGTGCGATGTGGAGGCGAAAGTTCGGATGGGGAGGGTGAGTTGATTGGTGGACGAGAAAGCTGGGAGAGGTCAATACAAGCGGGGGATCGTGAAAGGTCTATACATACACGTCGGCGCCCGCAGGCACGACAGGGCAGGTATTCGCGGCGGCATTGCTGGCTGCACTCTCGCTGCCACCACCCTCGAATCTTTTGCGGATCCATGGCCGGCGACTGGTTTTGCCGATGCCGGCGCGTCATTGCGCCAGTCCGCTTGCGGCTAGGCGCTCCCACCACGATGCGAATATCGCGAACACGAAAGTTCGTCGACTCAGTCTCTCGCACGCAACCCGACAACTCCTGTATACCGACCAGCTCGTACAGCGCCAAACCGTCAAAATGGCTCCTTCCAACCTCCCCGCCATCTTCAACCCCACCCAGCAGGACATTGAGATGCTCCTCGCTGCCCAGTGCCACCTCGGTTCCAAGAACCTCCAGGTGCACATGGAGCCTTACCTGTGGAAGACCAGGCCCGACGGTGTCAACGTCCTGAACATTGGCAAGACCTGGGAGAAGATTGTCCTCGCCGCGCGCATCATTGTCGCCATTGACAACCCGGCCGACAGTACGTTTACTCGCGCAATTCGAGATGTATAATCTTGGAAAATGCGAATATTGACACACGCGGACTTTGGCTGACACTGAGTGAATAGTCTGTGTCATCTCTGCCCGTCCCTACGGACAGCGTGCCGTCCTGAAGTTCGCTTCCCACACTGGTGCCACTGCCATCGCCGGTCGCTTCACCCCCGGTAACTTCACCAACTACATCACCCGTTCGTTCCGTGAGCCCCGCCTGGTCATCGTCACCGACCCCCGCACCGACGCGCAGGCCATCAAGGAGGCTTCCTACGTCAACATCCCCGTCATTGTAAGCATTCAGTTTTGAAAATGGGGAAGGGTCAGGAGACTAACATAGGACAGGCCCTCTGTGACGGAGACTCACCCACCGAGTACGTCGATGTCGCTATCCCCACCAACAACAAGGGACGCCACGCCATCGGTCTCATCTGGTGGATGCTTGCCCGTGAGGTCCTCCGCCTCCGCGGTACCCTCGCCAACCGCGAGACTGAGTGGGACGTCATGACTGACTTGTACTTCTACCGCGACCCCGAGGCTGAGGAGAACAAGGACAGCGCTGGTGTCGAGGAGGCCAAGGTCCCCGGTGCCGATGAGGTCGGTGCTGGCCCCGTCGCTGATGGCTTCACCAGCGAGTGGGAGGTCTCCGGCGCATCTGCTGGTGCTTTCACTGCCCAGGCTGCCGCTGCCCCCGGCACTAGCTGGGACGCTGACACTGCCGACTGGGCTGCGTCTGGCGATGCTCAGACTGGCAACGAGGGCTGGGGTGCTGAGACCGCTGCGCCCGCTACCACTACCCAGTGGTAGATGTCTTGACCCGTTTCGTCGATGCTTCTCTTACATACCCTGTCTTTGACAACCTGGCATGTGCCGGCGGCGTAGGAGTAAAAAGGAAAAGGAAATATGAGACCATTTGACAACGACTCAAAGATATAACCATGCCATGTCTGGAAGGGGACGTGTTGAGGGATATGATCAATGCTACGCGCTTATGAGGGAAAGATATCCATACAATGTATGGGGGAAAGCCCTGTGCTGGCGATCGGGTTGTACTTAATTGGCGCCCAGTCCTTCAATGCGAACCTTGCTCCATGACTTTTCTGACTACAACTTCCCATTCTTGCCATGCTTTGATGTGAGTGAGTGACTGTTAGTCCCTCAACGGGTCGCCCTTCGTTGGGCTGTACAGCTTGACACTCACGCGGAGTGCATAGGAAGAGCATGTGTCGATAGGTCATGCAGTCGTTGATTTGTATGAGTATAACATGAGCTGGCTTCTCTCAGTACTCTACTGTCCTAATCGTACATGCAAAGCTGGACCAACAATCTTTTCGTCCAAATATATACTCGAATCATTAAACATGGTCTTCCGTAAAGTCTTCATCATAGTCCACAAAAGTCGGAGACGCGCAGCATGGTGGTGACGTTCCGAAAATGCAACGCTCATCGCACTCATAGCCAGGCGAAAACAGCCATAACACCCGCGAGCAGCGCACCCATTCCCTTGAGCTCTTTGCCCAGGGCATCCGCCGCAGCACCAGTGGAAGGGGGCGCAGATGTCTCCGCACTGTCAGATCCAGTTCCTGAAGAGCCAGACTCCTCCGCGCCAGAGCCTCCAGTCGCCGTTGCGCTGAAGCTGCCAGACGTAGGGGTACCGTTGAAGTCGTGCTTCTGGCCCAGTGTGGGCAAGGGAGAGGTGGGGTTGACTTCCCAGACTGAGGTAGTGAAGTCGGGGCAGACAACAGGGGAGTTGGTGGGATTGTAGTCCGCCGCCTTCACACCGGTTGGGTTCAATGTAGCCCACACAGCAGAGAGGTTGGGGAAATCGGGTTCCACTGGGGTGGGTTTTCCTTCGTTTGATTAGTCAAGGTGTCTAAGAGGAATTTATGATATACGACATACCTGAGCGAGGGAAACCATCGGGAGCCTGAGCAGGGTCAACCTTGGGACCATAGCTAATGAGACCGTAATCGTTCATCTCCTCGATCCATTCGTAGATGATACTGCCGGACCAGACATCGGCCATCTCTCCGAAAAGAGCCTCTTGATCCTTGAAATCGCGCGGCCTTGCTGTGTTGCAGCCAGTCTCCGACATGAAGATGGGAATGTGCAGATCCTCAGAGTTCTTCTCAAGTTGATCGTAGCCAGACTGTTGGTAGGAGCTCTGTCCGCACCAAGAGTAGGCGTTGAGACTGAAGAAGTCGAGACGCTCAGACGCATTGTCGCCGCAAGCGAGGTAGTTCTGCAGCATAGGGCGGAGACTGGCGATGTCGGCAGCAGAGTATCCTATTGGTAT